ATTTGCTTTTTGGTCTCCAAATATTTTTCAACAGAACTACCAAAAGAGAATTAGATCTTTATATATATATATATATATATACGCAATATTGCTTCAAGCTAAGAATTGGGCACTTCAGCAAAGACCAAATTTTATCTGAATTGTCTGATTATTTTCATTTCTCTTGAACATCTGAAAAAAATTTATGCTACACAAGTGTGTGAAACTAAAATAGCTCATCAGAAGTGCTATTTATAGCAACCTAGTGCTGTTTATTGGGAAAGCACAAAACCACACATCTAATGAGACTTCAAGATTAGACCAATATAGCAGAAATGTTCTAATTTTAACTTCTGATTTCTAGAAAAGACTAGCTTCTTGACATAAAAGAAACAACAGAGGAAACAAGGAGAAAAAGAACAAAACAAGCAGAGCATAGATTAGGAGTGATAATGTCAATGATTTGAATGGGCACAATGTTCTCTTGTTAGCTCTTCTCACCCTGGGCTCCTTGCTACCTTCAGGTTTCAGCACAAATTACCACTTCTTCAGAAGGGCCTCCCCCACTTAGTCTCTACTACATCACCCTATTTATTTCCTTTACAGCACATACTACAGCCATCCAACTTTTGTCTCTTTGTGGTCTAGATCCTCCACTAGAACTTGAGCTCCATAAAGTCATTTTGTAGCCTGTTACCAAGCATTGCGCTTGGCACAAAGAGCATTCAGTATGTGTTGTATAAATGAATCAGTGCCTTTGGGCTGTAGGGTGATTACAGAGAAAAGAATTGTAACAATTCGTTGTTTTGGTTGCAGGCAGCCATCCATGTTGTTCTTCAACAGCTCTAGTAAGCCTAGAGTATAAGACATGTACAGTGCTGCGGTAAGGGCAATGCGAAATTGTTACTGCATTCAGACAGACAAACTGTCCTTAACATGACTAAAAGCACCCCATATTGTGGTTAATGTGATCTTTTTAATTAGCTTTTAAACTATGTGGGTTAAAATGTGTATCATTTTTCCCCTCAGTTGAGTCTTTTCCACTAAGAACCAAGACAAGCAATGAAAAGTTCTAGCATTGAGAAACTGAGCCACGCTTTAGGGTTCTGTGAGAGAGAGGTCTAGGAGTTTGCTTGAGATTGAAGATCTCACTTTCTACTATAGAATTGTCTTTCAACTGTACAATTAATATAACCCCACTACTGCCGTTGCTTTCCATCTCACCCTTGTTTTGAGAAACTACATAGGAAGAAGAAAGCAATTCACCTTTTTGAGACTATTCTTTTGCACCAGTGCTTCCTAGAGCCGATGCCAAGCTAGACATCTTGGTGCTCACTCAGGCGGAAAGGCAGGCTGGGACCTGGTCATAGTCCCATTAAAAAGCTGCATGTTGAGTCCGGTTAATTAGGGTCAAGCTACCTTTTATGCAGTTCTTTTTCCAACTCCTGTGCGTTTAGTAGTCATGATTAAATGGTCAAGCCCTGTCACTGCTGCCACAATAAAGTGGTAGCCCCCCACCGTCCGCCCACAAAGTGGCAAAGAATAATTATCAAGAAATCCCCAAGGGGGCGTTGGAGCGCTATGAAGAAACGGCGGATCTGCCGGATCGCGCGGTCCCTCCCTCTCGTGGAAAAACTCCGGCGCCCAACCTGAAAGACCCGGTAAAGGAAGCCAGAAATTTCTCTATCCCTTCGAGACCCAAGATGGCCCGTGACTCCTAGCTCAAGGTCTGGGTGTTGGGCCCGCACATCCAAAATTAGGTGAGGTCACTTCGTCCCCAGCTTCCCAGCCGCCAGTAAGGGTGCGTCGTATGTCGGCTGCTAAGTCTGGGGCACGGCGCCGGCAAAGCCAAGAACGAATGCTCAGGTTTGCCAGAGGAAACCAACAAGGCACTTTGCACTTCTCACCCCGCTGTCCCAAAGGTTTCCTTATGGGACACGGCGGGGAAGAACCCGTAGTACCCACCACCTCCTCCAAACAAAACCCAGCTATCGGTTCTCGTTCGTTAGGCATGGGGCCGGTATCCCGGCGTCCTCTCCGCCGACGTTTGGGGGCTGGAGCCGCTCTGGCCGGCGGCAGGCTTCTCTATGGTGCCGGCGGCGGGGAGGGGAAAGGGGCGGGGCCGCCGTTAGCGCGGCGTGCTTCAGGCTGGAGAGACGGAGGTGGGCGCGGCTGAGCTCGGAGAGGGCCCGGGCGGGAGGGGGACGGAGTGGACTCCGCCAAACTGCGTCCTGAGGTGGGAAGCCGAAGCCCCAGGTTCCAGATGGGGAGGGCGTGAAGGGGCGGCCAGCGCGCGGGACTCCAGAGGCAGCGGGGTGTGCTTGACCGCCGGCACTGTCTGACGATCCCGGGATGTGCGCGAAGCTCCGGCTTCCTCCGGCTTCGTGGAGCCTTCGAGATTCCACAGGCACCCAGTCCTCGCCTAGGCTCTGTGTCCCTGGCGTTTCCCTGGCCCAGAGCGGGGTGACGGGGTTCTTGTCGGAGTTGCCCATTGCCCTCTTTAACAGGCACGAGAGTCCCAAGCGCCCCGGGTCCCTGAAGGCGTGACTACTGTTAAGTGTGACAGGATCCCTTCCTTGCATAGGAAATGCTATGACGCCAGGGCTTCCTGCCCTGTTTTCTTAATGGGCATTTTAAAATTACTGCATCACACCAGCCTTGGGAAAGAATGATTTGGGGAATTTGCTGAGACTCGATAAATGTTTAAATTCAGAATTGTATGTTTTATTCCTAATGGTGTAGGAACTAAACAAAAGTTTCTGTGAAACTGAGCAGGATTTGTGTTTCTTTCCTTTGCAAATTAGCTGCATTTGGTATCTGCTTTAGGTATTATAGCATTAAAAAATTAAATATATTAGGGGCGCCTGGCTGGCTCAGTAGATGGAGTGTGTGACTCTTGATCTCCGGGTTGTGAGTTTAAGCCCCACATCCGGTGTAGAGATTACTTTAAAAAATTAAAATTTAAAAAAAATTAAATATATTAACTTTCACAGCACTGACACTGAAAAAGACTTATTTGTAAAGCAATACTAAAGGTAGTTATCAGATTTTAGACTGCTTTTACCTCAGGTTTTTGTAAACATTTGTGTGATGGGAAGAGTGAAGCAGATGATATTTACTTTGGGAATTTGTTCTTTGTTTTGGCAGAAAGATTTGTCTAAGATTATTAACAAACTGTATAATAGTGCATAACTAAAGTGACTGGCTAATTATGTTTGTGGAGTTAAGGAAAGGGAAGATTACTACTATGTATACTTAAAAGGCCCCATAGTTGATGATGTTTTACTATAATGGAATGGGGTGTGGCAGTTTGACCCTTGTAGAAAGTGGCTGCAAGTCATGAGGACATGTTAGGCTATTATGAGATAAGAAGTCATCCCCAAAATATTTTTAGTTCATAGGCTGAGGGTTGCTTACCTGCTTACCCCTTGTATTAGTATAATGAAATATTTATTAAATACCTTCAGCACATTTTATGCATGAGAGGCTAACAGAAAATTAAAATTACTACTCTTAAGGGAACTACCCAACAAAAGTAAGTATGTAGAATAAACAGAGTTATGTTACAGTTTTTGAGGTTCCAGTGTCCATTCTATTTGTAGGGGAGTGGTAGGAAGTGGAAAAAGGAAGAAAAAGGTATGAAGAAAAATGGGTACACTTGGGTGTCTTAGAGACAGTAAATAAAAGGCAGTACACTTATAAATGTTCTTTCTCCCCCCCAAAAAATGTTTTTTTCTTATCCTCATACTCAGAATCTAAGCTAAAGATGTTAAATATGTGCCCTAATAGAGTGGAATAGATGTCAGAATTGTGTTTCTGGGACCATAATTATACCTTTATAAAAATGGAAAGAGTATTGTGTTAGATACCTATTACTATATAACAAATCACCCCAAAACTTAGAGGCTTTAAATATTTAACAAGTATTATCTCACTGTGTCTGTGGGCTAGGACTTTGCAAGAGGCTTAGCTGGGTGATTCTGGCCCAGGGGCCCATGCAGTTGTAGTCCAGATGTTTGCAGGGCTCTAGTCATCTAAAAACTTGACTGGGGCTGACGGATCTCCTTCCACGTTCACTCATTAGCTTTTTGTTCCTCTGTCATCAAGCAAGCTGTTGTATACTCTCCATTTATAAAATGCATTTCGTGCTGCCCCATTATGTGTATGTGTTCCTATTCATAAACCATGATAGAATTATATTATTATAAACAATAAGGTTTTCTTTTTCAGGTCACTAAATCTGGATCATCATTTAAAGACTTGAAGTGATCTTTTGATGTTTCACTTTGCTCGTAACACATCATTAGCCTCCCCATCTTTTTAAAATCTGAACTTAAAACACAAGGTTAGTAACATTTAAATATATTTGGGGTGATGAAAATTGTTTCAAGAGTAAAAGAAGATGGGTGTAATGCAGTGGCTTTATAGTGGCATCATGCAATTTGCAATTAAGTGGATAATGACCTCTTATTTTTGTCCCCTTTCTGGGATAAGATGTGAAAATAAATTTGTAATAAATACAGATATAAGCATAGTTTGAGTGGCAGCAGAGCTTTTCTCTTGAACTTCTATGTAAGTGTGTCCAGCCTACATTCTACACTCTTTCACCTGAGTGACCTTCTTTCTTCTTTGGGCTAATTTGCAGGCCACAGCTTACTGAAGGAGGGGAATGTTTCTGCTAGTGTAGCACCTCTCTGGCGTGGTCATTCATTAAAATTTGTGTGTCCCAGTTCCCATCCAGCTAAGTGGATATTGGCATCTGTCTTTGGTTCAAAGGGATATTTTATAAACTTTAAAATTGTATGCACCAAACCTTTAAACATGTGACTTCTTTATCCATGCAAGTGTCAAGAGTTTATTTCGTAAAGTAAAAACAAATGCTTCATAATTTATGGGACTGTCTGAAGTTTATAGAAAGGTTTCATGACTTGGACGTATCTTTTGCCTTTTTTACATTTTGGTCTTGCTTGAAAGTACTTTGAAATCACTCATTTCCTCATCCTGGAAGAATCTACACTTTAACCCAATCTTAGTGCTTTTCAGAACAATTTTAATTATTGCAAATGATCAAGAATTTGAGGATTGTTGTTAATGGAGGACTCCATTATCATTAACAAAACAGTTGTTCAGTACAAAGCAAGTCTTCTTCACCATATGAAAGAATTAAAGGTGTCTATATAACTTTATTTCACCTGGAGATATAGAAATCTTTTGTACAGACTTTGCATATGTCAACTAACACATAAATATGAACAAATTATTTTTATTTTATCAGTTTGACTTATAAGAATTGTATAAAATTTTATTAATGTTTATTGATGTTATATATGCTAATATTTTTATTAATACATATTTTTAATGTTATAAGTATGTTTCTACTTTTCAAAAATTACACCGTTAAGATACTGACTTTAGCATCATGGTCTGAGTTGTTTGATGACTTCTGACTAATTTCAGAGTAGCTTTATTTGTTTTATGGTCATAATAGAAAGACATTAGAAATCTTTAGGGAGGGGCGCCTGGGTGGCTCAGTCGTTGAGCGTCTGCCTTTGGCTCGGGTCATGATCCCATGGTCCTGGGATCTCGTGATACCCAAGCACCCATAATTCCCTAAAGATTTCTTTTTTTTTTTTAAAGATTTGTTATTTATTTATTTGACAGAGAGAGAGAGACAGCTAGAGAGGGAACACAAGCAGGGGGAGTGGGAGAGGGAGAAAGAGGCTTCCCGCTGAGCAAGGAGCCCGATGCAGGGCTCGATCTCAGGACCCTGGGATCATGACCTGAGCTGAAGGCAGACGCTTAACCCACTGAGCCACCCAGGCACCCCATATTTGCTTATTTTTAAGTGATTTTTGATATATATTGTCAAATTGTGTACTAGAAAATTATACTAACTTATACTCCTGTTAATAAACAGAACGAGTGATCATCTTCCTACCACTACTAACAGAAAGCATTAGCAATCTTTTGTCAATTGTACATTGAAATATTGTTTTAATATAATTCAATTGATTGCTAATAAAGTTGAAACCTTCTAATAATTTTTTTTGATCATTTGTATTTCTTCCTTTTCCAAATTGCCTTTTGATAGACATTGCCCATGTTATTATTGGAATACTGATTTTTTCTTCTTAATTTTAAGAGACCTTAATAAAGTAAAACTTTGAATCTTTCCCCATCATAAAGAGAATCACAATTCCTCCATTGTCTTTAACTTTGCCATGTATAAGTTTTATATTCTTATGTAGTCATGTCTATCAATATTTAAAAAATAATTTTGAGGGACACCTGGGTGGCTCAGTCGGTTAAACATCTGCCTTTGGCTCAGGTCATGATCCCGGGGCCCTGGGATCAAGTACTGCATTGGGCTCCTTGCTCAATGTGGAGCCTACTTCTCCCCTCTGCCTGCCGTTCTCCCTGCTGGTACTGTCTCTCTGACAAATAAATAAAAAAAATTTTTTTTTAATAAAAATAATTTTGAGTTCCTCTCTCAAAGTCAAGCTAGCTCAACTATGTAGAAGTCTGTTTACAAATTCATGTAAATATCCCAAACTTGATAACCAAACTGATTACAAAAGCTATCTAATCATAGACATTTTCCAGGACTAGTCAACGAAACTGATTCCCTTTGTTAATTTAACCAGGGAAATGTTCTATCATGTTGCAAAACTCTGATCTGTGTGGATGTGACATTTTAAAACCTAGAGTTGTTTGATTAAACAACTCTACTGTATTGAACTATGCGTTGCACAGATTGAAAGGAGATGATCCATTCTCAGGTTTCGTCTGATCATTGACTCTCTCCAGTATTACTTAGCAATTAAAGCCTAACAGACTGACTACTAGTGTGGACAGCTCTTCCTGTCCAGCATGGTATATTTGTGAGTATGCTGTTCTAATGCAGCTGGAAGAAACAAAGAGCCCACTTTCCATAATATGTGCTGAGAAGGCCAAATACTGTCTTTTCCAGCCTCCCCGGTAGCTAGTCATGTGATGTAGGCCCAGCCAATCGGACACATACCCTGCCCCATCCAAATAGTGCATGAGTTCAAATAAGCAAATACAGTCAAGAGTCTTCCACGGCAGCAGTGGACAGGGCAGCACTGACTCAGTGCCAGTGGTAATACCTGGTGACAGGGGGTTAGGCAGTGTAAGCTGGGCTCCGTGGTGGGGAGGTCTTCACCAGACCAGTTGTCTGGTGTCATTTTCACTGAGGTGCTCGAGGTATAACTTGGAGGCCTGATTCTTGAAACCTGGCTGTGATTTCCCAGTATCCTTTTAATAAATTTGTTTTTTGCATTTACTGCCAGAGTGTTTTCTTTTCCATGCACTTAAGAATCCTAACCGTTACAGGATCAGAGTTAAATAATAATTGTTCCTCTACCAATTTAGAATTATATACACATTCTCCACACCCCCATACACACACTTATTTGATTTCTAGACTTTGTATTCACCTTTCAGTACTTACGTTACTCTGCTTTTCCAAGTTTATTGGCATTAACTCTTTTAAATGAAATTTAGAAACACTTTGTGAAGTTCCTAAAAGAAAATCCCTTTATGATTTTAATTAGATTAATATTAAATTTATAGATTTTATTTGAGGAGAATAACACCATCAATGTCTTCTTACTCAATAAAATGGTCTGGCTCTTGTATTGGTTACATTCCATCAAAGAAGCAGAACTACTTTGCCTGGGATTTAGACAGGGGTTAGACATTCTGTAATTGTGGGGACTGGGAAAGCAGTCTGGACAGACTCCTGCCTCTGAGTCTGTTGTTGAGCCTGAAGGGGTTACAAACCAGCTAGACAGACACAGTCGAGAAGGGAAAGTGGATGTGGAGGAGAGCAGGGACAGAATGGAATCTGCATTGGCTTCTCACCAACTCGTTTTGATGCTGTGGGTGATGATCTACCAGGAGAGGCTAACACCCTTGACCCGGGGATTGCACATGCAGACCCAGGATTTGGAGAAGCTGAAGGAGCTGCAGGCCATTCCGCTTCCCCATGCCAACAAGGCAAGCTAACAGATCATGTGCAAGCTCCACATGCAAGGAAGAACTATACAAGAACTTTACAAGGAAGGGAATTGAAAAATGTGCTTCCAACTAAGCTGAGCTAACATAGTATGAAGCCACCAGAGCTCGAAAGAACTGATTGATCTTTTATGTCCTTTAATACAGCTTTGTTGTTTTCTTCACAAATATTTCCTGTTTAGTTTATTCCTTGGTATTTGGGTTTTTATTGCTGTTGTGAATGTTTTTTCCCACTTTTTTCTTACAATGATTGCTTATATATTATAAAGATTATTTTAGTATTTATCTTGAATTAGCCACCATTTGCAACTTAAATTCTAATGGTTTTCAATGGATTCTCTTGAATAGGCAGTCATTTCACTTGCCAACTAATGTAATTATCTTGTTCTTCCTGGTAAGGTAATGATACATTTCCTTCCCCCCCTCCCTCCGTCCCTTCCTTGCCTCGTTAAGTGGAATGAAACTGCCAGAACAATATTCTGATAGCTTTACTGTTTCTAACTTTTAAGGTAATATTTCTCAGTTTTCATGATTTTGGTTTCTGGTAAACTAGTGTTTCTCAATGTTTAGTGAATATAAAAATTACTTGGTAGTCATACTTGCTAAAAATGCAGATCCCAGGAATGGATATTACATTTTGCTAAATGCCATTTAAGTATTTAATATGCAGTTCCTGCTGGATAACAGATCCAGTATATGAAGATTTTTCATGAATTCATTCAACACTTATTGAGCACTTAGTATGCATGAAAGATACAGTAGTGAAGAAAGTTGACTGAGTCCTTGCTCTCTGAACTTTTGTTTTCCTTCCTGAAATGTGTACAGAGCATAAATACTTGAAAACAAGTATTTTGGCTCTAAAGGTATTACTTGCACCATCATTTAAGCTTAGTTTCTTTGAGCTAACTAGGCCACTCCATTCTTTTTAACCAGGTCCCATTCCCCCTGCTTATGTTCCCTCTCTCGCTGTGTCTCTTTCTGTCAAATAAATAACTAAAATCTTTAAAAAAAAAAAAAAAAGTGATGAATTATATTGCATTGTGGTCAGAGAATTTGGCCTGAACATTTCCAATATTTAGATTTTATTGAAGTTTTTCTTGTGGATGAGTAAATGGGTAGTTAACTTTTGTAAATGTTTCATGGACAATTGGAAAGAATGTGTTTTCCATGTAAAATGTGTAATTTTAGACCTGCATATGAAATCAAACTTGTAATTATATTATTTAGATTATCTATACCTATTTTTGGCTACTTTATATAATTTACATATCTTACCTCTTTGTGGTTTGTCATGTAAGCATCTTTTTTTTAAAGATTTTATTTATTTATTTATTTATTTATTTATAGAGGGAGAGCAAGAATGCAAGAGAGAGCATGAGCGGGGGGAGGGACAGAGGGAGAGGGAGAAAGATTTTCAAGCAGACTCCGCTCTGAACACGCAGCTTGACTCAGGGCTTGATCCAGCGACCCTGAGTTCATGACCTGAGCCGAAATCGAGTCGGACGCTTAACCAACTGAGCTACCCCAGTGCCCTGTAAGCATCTTATATAACTTTATTTTATCCCTTTTAGTACCACTAAGTCTTTTGCCATGAATTTTGTATTTGATATTAATATTACCATGGCTGCTTTATTTGGCTAGTATATTCTAGATATATATTTTCTCATCTCTTTATTTTGTATATTGCTGAGACTTTGTTTGAGATATTTTCTTATGAACAATAACTGGGATGTTTCCTTTTGTCCCAATCTGTTTCTTTATAGATAAATTTAATACATGTGTGTTTGATGTTTGGTCCCTTTTACTCTTTTGGGGGGTTGGGGTGACAGTAAATTTTTTCTTTTTTTTCCTTTTATGTTTTGCTGTACTGATCAAGTTTTCTTTATTCCTCTTATGTCTTCCTAGTGATTTAGAAGTCCTGTTCCTCCATCCTTTTTCCCCCAGAAATTGTATATAGCTGTTATAATTTCAAAGGCAAAATTATGAAATTCATGATTGTCACAGAGGTGCCATAATTTAGTTTATGTAGAATCCTACAGTCATGATCCATTTCTCTCAGAGCTTTAGTAATGTTGCCCCACAGTATTTTGGCATTTATTGTTGGTATTAATCACATTTTCCTTTTGCAGATAACCTTTTTGGCTGGGGTGGGGCAGGATTTGGAAACTCTAAAGGATTTTATATTTATCTTTTGAATTTATTTTTTTCTTTCAGTGCTTAACTCTTTGTCATTTTTTTCCCCAACAAGCTTTGAGAAAATTCTTCAAAAATGTTCTTACTCACTAATTGTGTTTTTTGAAGCATTCATTTTATTATGCATTGTTCCTGTTGAGCTCTTATTTGGGCAATCAGACTTTTCATCTCCATAAGCTCTTGTTTTCAGAGTGCTCCTTTTACATGAAAGCCTGCTGTTGTTATTGACAATAAAGTATATTCTCTAACTTTTTAACATCTTTGTTGGAGTATAATTGACATAACATTTTGGTACATTTTGATGTATATATGAAACTATAAACCATGAAACTATCACCACAATCAAGATAATGAACACATCTGTTCCCCCAAAGTTTCTTTTTTTTTTTTTTTAAGATTTTTTATTTATTTATTTGAGAGAGAGCGAGTACATGAGAGAGGGGAGGGGCAGAGGGAGAAGCAGACTCCCCGCTGTGCAGGGAGCCCGATGCGGGACTTGATCCCGGGACTCCAGGATCATGACCTGAGCCGAAGGCAGTCGCTTAACCAACTGAGCCACCCAGGCGCCCTCCCCCAAAGTTTCTTAATGCTCCTTTTTTATCCTTCCAGCCCCACTGATCTGCTTTCTGTCACTTAAATTGGTTTACGTTTTCTTGAATTTTATATAAATGGAATCATGTTCTGTATTCTTTTAAAAATATTTCCAAATGAAAATTTCAAATATATAGAAAAGTAGAAGATAATATAATGAACTATAGTATATCCATTACCTATATTAAACAGTTATAACATTTTCCATACTTACTTCATTTATTTACTTTTTAAAAATTAAGACTTTCTTTTTTATTGCAGTTTTTGGTTTACAGAAAAATTGAGCAGATTGTACAGAGTGTTCCCATATGTTACTTCTCCCTCCACACACATTTCTCCTTATTATTAACATTCTGCATTAGTGTGATACCTTGTGACAATTAATACACCAACATTGATATATTGATTGAAGTCCATAGTTACATGAGGGTTCATTCTTTGTGTTGTATAGTTCCATGAGTTTTGACTGTGTACTCTGTTTTTCTTTTCTTTTTGTTTGGCTTATTTCACTAAGTATTATTTTGAAATTCATCAATGTTTTTGTTTGTATTATTTTTTTGTCTCTTTTTATTCCATGTTTTGTTTATCCAGTTGGGTTGTTCCAGTTTGGAGCTAATGTAGATAAAGCTGCTGTGAACATTCATGTACAAGTCTGTGTGTGGGTGTATGCTTGCATTTCTCTCAGGTAAATACTTAGGAGTAGAATGACTGAATCTATGATAGAAGTATGTTTAACATTTTGAGAAACTGAAAAGTGGTTTATCATTTTAAATTTCCTCCAGCAGTGTATGAGAGTTCTGGTTGCTCCACATCTTTTCTACGTTTGGGATGATAAGTCTTTAATTTTAGCCATTCTAATTAGGTATGTCTTGTATCTCATTGTGGTGTTTTAATTTGCATTTCCCTAATAATTAATGAGGTTGAGCATATTTCATGTGCTTATTGATCACCTGTATATCATCTTTGTAAAGTACCTTTTCAAATATTTTGCCCATTTTTGTATTAGTTTTTCTATTATTGTGTTTCCAGAATTCTTTGTTCTAGATATAAATCCTTTATCAAATATGAGATATGCAGATATTTTCTCCCAGTCTGTGGGTTGTCTTTTCGTTCTCGTAACATAGTCTTTCAAAGAGCAGAAGTTCTTAATTTTGATGAAGTTCAATTTATCAATTTTTAAAAAACAGGTCGGCCTTTTGATGTTGCTTCTAAGAACTCTTTGCATAACCCAAGGACACAAAAATATTCTTCCAGGATTTTTATAGTTTTATGTTTTACTTTTAGTTCTGTGATCCATTTTGACTTAATTTTTGTATATGGAGTAAAGTATGGTTTGAGAGTCATTATTTTTGCCTGTGGATATCTGCTTGTTTCAGCACCATTTGCTGAAAGGACTGTCTTTTCTCCATTTACTTGCTTTTGCATGTTTGTCAAACATCAATTGACAGTGTATGTGTGGACCTATCTCTTCTTTTAATTTATTTTATTTATTTATTTTTTTTAAAGATTTTATCTATTTGACAGAGAGAGCGAGAGCAGGAACACAAGCAGGGGGAGTGGGAGAGGGAGAAGCAGGCTTCCTGCTGAGCAGGGAGCCCGATGTGGGACTCGATCCCAGGACTCTGGGATCATGACCCGAGCCGAAGGCAGACGCTTAACTACTGAGCCACCCAGGCGCCCTCTTTTAATTTATTTTATATATATATATTTTTTAAGTAGGCTCCACACCCAGTGTGAAGCCCAACACAGGACTTGAATTCACAACCCTGAGGTCAAGACCTGAGCTGAGATCAGGAATCAGGTGTTCAACCAGCTGAGCCACTCAGGCATCCCTGTGTGGATCTATTTCTGATCACACTTTCTATTCTGTTTCATTGCTCTATTTGTCTGTCTTTATACCAATACCGCACTGTCGTTAATTACTGCAGCTGTGTAAGCCTTGAAGTCAAATGGTATAAGTCCTTCAACTTAGCTCATCTTTTTCCAAGTTGTTTTCCTGTTCTAGTGTTTTGTGTGTCCCTATAAATTTTAGAATATATGTAATGAGCAATGGATAGTTTTTATTACAGAATGGAAGTTGAATCATCCTTAATACATCATTTAGTTATTCTTTAGTCTCAGAATTAAAACAATACAAAACAAAAACTTCAGGTATCACATAATATTGATAACTTTAACTGGATGAATGATTTCAGTATTCTATGCCAGGTAAGTACTCAGCACAGAATTATGATTGCCTTTTTATATCAATTAAAGTGCTGTGGTTAGAGGCAACAGAAAAGAAAAAGGGATTTATTGGAAGAATCCTGGGTTAGCCCATAGAAGTAAAGTAAAGGGTAAGCTGTAAGAACTAGGGCAGCTCTGAAAAACTTAAAGATTGGACCTGAGGAGTTGATGTCCTTATGATTCTTTTTTCATAGGCTGCTCCATGTAGTGGAGCCCAGGTCTGTAAGAAGAAAAGGAACTTTCTCCCACCAGCTCCACTTAGGAAAATTCTAGAAGGAAGTCTGATTGGTCCAGCCTGGATCACCTTAATCACCAGATTATTTATCACTAGTCTAATCACTACTGGAAAATGATGAATTCTTTACTTACTTACTTTAGTAAGTAATTACTAATTAGTAATTACTAATTAATTACTACTACTGATAAGAGAGACAGAGAATTCTAATTGGTCAGCTCCAGAGTTTGGGTATTGTGATGAGCAGTTTTCCTAAAGGAAGGAGGTGCTGTTCTCAGAAGTTTGGAAAATAGTTGCTGGGTACAGAGACACAATGGGTGCCCACTACCATGTAGCACACATTACTGAGAGAGAGAACTATTTGATGACCTCAAAGTAATAGATTACAGTTGGTGGGCTTTCTTAAATTCACCTTGATGCATACTAACATGTAAACTGTTGTTCCTATAAAGCTAATCTATTCTCTTTGGGCTGCATGGCATATTGTATATAACATGTAAGAAGAACAGTTTTGTTATACCTGAAAGTTACTAGGAGAGTAGTCTTAATGTTCTCACCACATGCACAAAAAGGTAACTATGTGAGGTGATGGAGATGTTAACTAACCTTATTGTGGCCATCAGTTCACAATATGTCTGTATATGAAATCATCACAGTATACACCTTAAACTTAACAAGTATTATCTACCAACTATATCTCAATGAAGCTGGGAAAAATAAAATGAAATTACTGACAATGGTCAAAAAAAAAAAGAAATACCAGTTTTTACAGCTTGGTTTTGTATTTGTGAAATTATTGCTCAAGTTGTTTTGTTTAAATGTTACGTGGCATTAATCTTTTCCTCTGCTTTCTATTTTAGGGTGACTGGGAATGTAAACAAGAATAAGCTATTTGTTTCCTGATGGCTTTTAGTATATACTGACGGATTGTCTGGGATGGCATCTGAGGCTGAGAAGACCCATGCTTTACTCCAGTCTTGTAGCACTGAGTCTCTTATTTCCAGCCTTGGTCTGGGGATATTTTGCCTAGTAGCCGATAGACTTCTTCAGTTTTCAGTAATTCAGCAAAATGACTGGCTTCGAGCCCTCTCAGATAACGCCGTACATTGTGTGATTGGCATGTGGTTGTGGGCAATTGTCATTGGAGTCAAGAAGACAACTGACTTTGGAGAAATCATTTTAGCTGGATTTTTAGCCTCTGTTATTGATGTAGACCACTTTTTTCTAGCTGGATCTTTATCTTTAAAGGTAAGAAGCATATATGTTTAATTTTTCTGGTCTTTAATTTCTTTAGCACCATTATATTGATCTTCACAGCATCATTTTAGAACTAGAGAAGATTATCCTTATTTTAAAATAAGAAAGCCCATTCATCCAGCTTTTTTTTGAGCACTTAGTACTTCCTTGAGGCGAACACAGACATGTTGCTAATCAAGTTATTGGCATCACCAAGTGCCAAGGATGCATACAGAGCTAAGGACTCACTAAATGTACCTGAAGAGTTCTGTGCTGGCTTTACAGAGGATGGTACTTAGCCAAGTCTTGAAGGAAGCATTAATCAACTGGTTTAAAGTAATATGGGGGTCATTGTCAGGGTTCTCCTGGGTCTTTTTTCACTGTTCTTTCTTCAGGACCACACTTATAATTTCCCCCTTATTCTTCATGTTTCACAGTTAGTATGCGGCTTCTGAGTGTTCCATAACAGGGGAAGAGCTTTAAGATGATTCCTAGTGCTGGGGAATGACTTCAGTGGATTCATTCCCAGTCCCTTGTGGAGCCAAAGGTGTGCATTTCAATGGGCTGATTAGGGCAAAGTTCCTGGTGGAGAAGTTTGAGGAATTTCATTGAGGTGTTTAGCTATACAATGACCTATTAGCTTTGCAAATGAATGGAGCTTGAAATACAGTTAAGATCATATTTTCTAAGTGTCAGCAGATTTGCCTGCCTTTTCCATGCTTATGACCTGTAAACACTCACAGAGCAAGGACTTTGCTTTGTTCACCACTGGCCTGGAACAGTGCCTGGCTTATCTAGAAGGGTTTCAGTAAGTATTTGTTGAAAAAATGAGAAATGATCACTTCTTCCTTTTATGTGTCACATACCATGTATTTCTTAGAGGTTGTCTCACTTATTAAAAAACTTCAGTAAGGAATCAGTAATTCCTGATTAAAGACAAATTTTAGCTTTTTTGGTGTAGGTGAAGGCAGAATAACATTGTGTTTGAGATTGGAATCAGAAGACATGAGTTTGAATCCTAGTATGTAGTGTTAGAGCACTTTCTTGTCTCAATGTCGTCTTCTGTAAAGTGTGGATTCTGTCATTACTTACCTCACCCGGCGGTCATGGGTGTTAAATGAGCACATTAAAGGACAGACCCCAGCAAATAGTTCACAATAAATGTTAGAGTAGAGATTGGGATAAACTACCAAGCATCATAAAAAGTGTGGTTCCTAAATACATTCATCTAGAATTTATTGTAAGGGAGAAGGAAGAATGTAGCGTAAACTCTTTGACTGATATTCAGTCAATAGGTGAGAGTTAAAGACACGGGTTTAAGGGTTGTGTGACTGCATATGGTGAAGGTATAGTCTCTTTAATGGATGGCCTTGTATTTTAATGGTGGGAAGGTTATGCCTCTAATTTTTTTTTTATACGTACCTAATTTTTTTTTTTACTCCTTCTTTTCCTCTTTACCACCCGGTGTCCAAATGATTCCCCACCCTTCCTTTTTGCCATCTTCTGCCCCAGAACCAGTGCCTCTTAAAGCCTTGAAACATGCACACTTTTTTTTTTTTTTTTAAAGATTTTATTTTTTTGACAGAGAAACAGAAGAGCACAAGCAGAGGGAATGGCAGGGGCAGAGGGAGAAGCAGACTCCCTGCTGAGCAGGGAGCCCGATGCAGGACTCGATCCTGGGACTCCAGGATCATGACCTGAGCCGAAGGCAGTCGCTTAACCAGCTGAGCCACCCAGGCGCCCAGAAACATGCACACTTTTAAGTCCTTGCTTTGTAGGCAGTGCTCTGATCAACCAGGACCGTTTTCAGTGCTTCTCTTTCCAGTGGTAATTTTAGATCAATCGTAGGTCCCCTCATCTTTCCTGGCTTGTGGTGGGAGTGTGAGAGAAAGCGCACTGATGTGGTATGTATTCTAATACTTTAGAGTATTTGAAGTTTTGGGCACTCTGGCTTCTGTCTGTGCTGAGTGGGGTTTGGTATAGTTTTATTTGCCCTTGTCTGTAATGTTTTTGAGGATATGTGGGGAGATTCGGATTTAGGCAGTCTTCACTGCCCTCGGCTTCCTTTTTATTTAGAAATTATCTAATTGAAAATTAGCCTTTAGAGTATGTGTGAGCAAAACCTTACTCAGGAATCATTCAGGGGCGCACCTGGGTGACTCAGATGGTTGAGCATCTGCCTTTGGCTCAGGGCATGATCTCAGGGTCCTGGGATCGAGCCCCGCATCGGGCTCCCTGCTCATCAGGGAGTCTGCTTCTCCCTCTCCTTCTCCTGCTCCCCCTGGTTGTGCTCTGTCAAATAAGTAAATAAAATCTTAAAAAAAAAAAAAAAAAAAGAATCATTCAGGGGTTGGTTAACCCTGAAATTTTCATTTGTTTAGTTACTGATTAAATGTTTTGTACTGGTTTAAAATTTTTACTGGAATTTAACTCAACTTTGTAATACTTATTTAAAATAATACAATCTTTCTAAATGTTGTTTTAAGTGCATTCTGAAAATATTCAATGCTAATATAAAGTGGTTATAACAAAAACATTTCCTTTTCATGCCCTTGTTAATAGAATATTTTATTCAGTTGTGAGATTTTTTTCAATGCTTAGAGGCCCCAGATAATTCTCTAAAACTCCAAATTTACACAAACCAGACATTTGGGATATAAATTACATTTGTATTGTGACTTTTCTAAGCAACTAATAGGAAGCTTTAAAAAATTAATCACCATGTTCTTGAGATCTTGGTTTCATTGTTAATGCAGAGAATATCCCACTCACTCTTCTTTGCTTTATATGTAACAGATTTAATACATGTATTCATAGGTGATGCAGAAAATGTTTGCATTGTATTTCTAATAGACTCATAGAAGATGTTTTAGAATATTAAGAAGCATCTACCAAATTTTGTTTGCCAAGAGGGAAATGATACTAGCTACCGCTCTCCCCGGCAGGCTGCTTTGACTCTTCCACGAAGACCTGTTCTTCACTGCTCTACGGTCATACCAGTTGTGGTTCTGACCCTGAGGCTTACTATGCACCTTTTCAAGCTCAAAGACTCATGGTGCTTTCTTCCCTGGATGTTATTTATATCGTGGACCTCACATCATATCCGAGATGGAATTCGTCACGGCCTGTGGATATGCCCATTTGGAAAAACCTCTCCTTTGCCATTCTGGCTTTATGTCATCATCACCTCCTCTTTACCTCACATCTGTTCGTTCATTATGTATTTCACAGGGACCAGGCAAATGATGTCTTCAAAACATGGGATCCATATTGACGTCTGAGGTAACCGTATGCCAGTCTTAGAGAAGCAGGTGGTTCCGATAATGATAATTAAGGGTGGCTGACATTATCAAGTGAATTTTTAACAACATATTATATTTATTATTATAATTCCTGAATCCTCTTGCTCAGGAGGCATGTACACTTTTTTTTTTTAGGGCGCCTGGGTGGTTGAGTTAAGCGTCTGCCTTCGGCTCAGGTCGTGATCCCAGGGTCCTGGGATCGAGCCCCGCATCGGGCTCCCTGTTCCACGAGGAGCCTGCTTTTCCCTCTGCTGCTCCCCCTGCTTGTGTTCCTGCTCTCGCTCTGTCTGTCTCTGTCAAATAAACAAATAGAATCTTTAGGGGAAAAAAAATATCTGATACTGAGAAACAAAACATATGTTTTTCAAAATGAAGAATTTTTAGGAAATTTGCTTTTTCCTTTGTTCTTTCAGGTTGATCTGTTAAAAATGATTAACCTTTATTAGAGAAAGAAAATTTAATTGCAATAAAATTTTACATTTTCATAGTTTAATGTTACTTTGGTATAAAAGTCAGTGTCCTGATGGCACTTGCTTTTTTTCCCCAGTACCATTTGTTGTCTTTAGATTTTCTTACACATTTGTGATTTGTAATGCTAGTGATTGTGTGCCTTATTCTCTGAGAAATGGTGAAGCAATGCCTTATCCAAAGCATATTTTTCTTATCTATTAAGTTAAACAGAGCTGTGTAAATTGTTGTAAAGGTTCACGTTCTTTAGTTTTTCTTTTTGTTGTTAACCAGTTGGTTGCAATCTAATTATGTTTTAGAATCTGTTAGATTTTACATCTGTTATCTTTCAAGAGCAATGATTGTGTCAGTTTGGTTGGTATAATAAATATTATATAGTGGGGGTAAATTTGAATAAGAGATTTTTTTAAGTATATAATTTCAGAAATCCATGGAAATAAAATATCTTGTATCACTTTTTCTGACTAAATTACAAAACTCTACTTTTTTCTTTCTCCATATTAAACAAAGGAATGCCATTAAAATATAGGGCCTTACATAAGAATATCACACTGGCATTTTGGGGGCTGTCCTCTAACTTTTTGTATTAGAATGGGAATTCACTTTGACCATGACTCCTTGCTTAAACAGTAACTACAGATTTTAAGTGTGGGTTTATCCTTGTTCCTTCCTCTACCATCAGAAATGCTCCTTGTCCTCTAAATAGTCTATAACAGTTGTGGTGGTAACCTCTAGAAATATAACAGCCAACTTCCCATGCCACCATTTTGTTTTTTTATCTTATTGAAAAAGTTTGTGTCAGTATAACATTATATTGAAAACAGGATTATATCTTTTTTGCATGTATGTGTTTTCTCCATCCACTAGATGTCCTCCATTCATTTAATGGAGGCTGGTCCACTGATCTGACCTTCCAATCTACTGTGTTCTTGAGGCATGTTAGTTATGCTGACTACTCAGAAGAACTTCCACCATTGAACTGTTTTCTACTCATCCTCAAGCCTAGTTTCCTTTAAGTGGTGGGCTAAGTTAAAACTCCCACGTATCCTCACCTCCTTTCTTCAACTTAGGCAGCCACCATCACTACCTCCAATCAGGCAGACACTCCCTGGCTCCTTTTTCTTTTGACAATTACTTAGTTTTTCCCATTTTCCCAACTAAAGAGGAGAGGAAATAGGGGCTATTCTGGTCCTTGCTCACTACTGTCATGGCTAAACCTTTTATCTACCACAGTTCTCAGTTTCTTTCATTTGATATCCCAATATATTACTCATTCTCAGTCTTTACCCTCACAGGCTATCCTCTAAGACTCACTTTCACCTTCTTTGATGATATGAGCGCCTGGATCTCTTTTTTCCTTTTATTCCAACCCTTGATTTTATCCTCAGCCATCAGATGACTCACCTGAATATTCCCTTCTTCTTTAACCACTGACTCATCACCACATCACATCAGCCATGAACCAGGACAACAGTCCTCTGTACCTCTTTGGAGGACAATGCTCATTGCTGAGATCTCAAACATTGTTTACTTTTTCTAGACCAGTGGTTCTCAAACTCTAACATACATCAGAATCACCTGTAAGACTTGTTAGAACAGGGATTGCTTGAGATCTACCTCCAGAGTTTTGACTCCGTAGGTCCCAAGAATTTGCATTTCTAACGAGTTCTCAGTTGATGTTGTGAAAGGTGAAATGAAATGGGGTCACTTGTGTCAAGGGGTTTTAAAATGCAGCCGGGAGGCCATTAAGGAGGTGGGCCTTTTGCACATCCTCACTGATGGAACCATGAACTTTTGAACTGGGTCAGATTGCAAATATTCCAAGGACTCAGCCTGAACACCTGCAACTTGCTATAGTAAGAGACTTTGCTTAGCGATAGCCTTAGTAACTAATTATATTGGGTCAAGAGTAGCTTTCTGCTGTCAACACCAATAAAAAATTCTTTGTAAACAACCTATACAAACTTTACTTTTTTGCTTTAAAAACCTGACTTTGCTCTCTAACGGGACACTATTTGGGTTACTACCCAAATTTGTGTACCCCGAATTGCAATTCCTTGATCCCAAGTAAATGTTCTTTCTTAATTATTGCCTCCTGACAATTTTAGGTTGACCATAGGACGCAGCTGTTCAGGAACCCCACTTTAAGAACCATGACTGTAGACCCAACCTGTTTCTTTAACTTCATTCCCTTCCCTCCTCTTCCTTGAGCCAACTCTTTGTCTTATCGATACCTTTAATTTTTCCCAACCTTCCTTTGCCCCCAGGTCCATCCAGTCCTGTGCTAGGTACATTTAACTCTGTTCCTGTCCTACCTATGCAGTGCTACAGGTTACTGTTTACTGTTTCAGCACTCCAATGCCCAGCTATCCTCGTGTACTGTCCAATTAGCCAATCCATATAATCCACATAGTCTGCTTTCCCCAGTTCTGCCTTAGGCCACATGTTTTGAAAGTTGTTACGAAACCCTGCTGACTCGACCGGCTACCTAACTTCAACTGGGGATTTAATAATACTTTGCTTACTACTGAACAATTTTTTTTCAAGTATGGTACCAAACAAGACAAGCCCCAGAATATCTGACCCTATTAGATCCAGCCCCAAGCCAGGAAGCTCACAGCATTCCACCGATCTGAGAAATTCATATTGATACTCAATCTCCACAGTTACTTTGCACTTTGCATAAACCCAAGGCATTGCCCACCTATGTCCCCTTGGCATTTCTTTGCTTCCCAGGAATAATGATGCTAATTTAAGTGTTTCTGAGGCATTTTACCCTTTGCCTGACCTTGCAAGGAGTTTTTTGGCTTACATACCCAGCAGCATTAAGTAATGTTGCTTCAACATTTGGCAAGAGGAGGGGAGTGTCAAATTCAAGCTCTAACACCCGTTCTGATCCCCCTCAGTACTCTGTGTGAGCTTTCAAAGAAAGTATCCATCTGAATTCACACACCCTTTCTCATTATTTATTTTTTATTATGAATATTTGAGAATCATTTCTCAAATATTCATTTGACTTAATTCAAGCCCCACCCAGTTCCCAGGTCAGCAACATTGATGCCATGCACGTAACGTGGAAGGCAGAGAACATTTTCCGAAGATATCTGGGTGATGCTAAATAAAGTATAAATTGTGGGATAGTGGTTACATAACAGACCACATGCAGGTATAACATATCTAAATGACACAGGTCATACCTCACTACCCTCAGCTTTTGCACAAAGTCACAGGAAATGTTTGGAGCTTTTTAGAGTATTCGTGAGAGACCCTGCTATAAAAACCTCATTGTGTGCTGTAGAGGCCCTGCTCTTCTTGGAGAGCCATGGTAAATACTACCCTTCCAACTTCCTGGACTGCCACGCTGTTTGCCCAGAGTCTGTAACAATTGTCCCTCAGTGCTAGGCCTGGTCTCCTGGCCAGCAGAGACTCTAGTGTTTCTCTAGATGCTAAACAGATTGGCACAGGACCACTCTTTGTCAATCTGGCTTCATGAAGGGTGGCATGGAGCCCAGGCCAATCCTTCTGGAAAGGGCTCTGCCAATTTCTCAGGGGTGAGACCCAGAGCCAATCACTCTGCAAGCCCTCTGCTCCCATTTTCACCTATCAATCCAAGGGAGATGGGATTAAAATAAACCTCAGGGGAATCTTTGAAAGGGTAAAAATACTACAAGAGTGAGAAGAAGGAATGGAGAGAGATGGGAAGCCTGTCTACTTGGCCTGCTTAGGGGTTATAGGGTGCATGCCTGTGTGTGTCCCGAATTACTCTTCTTTTGCTTCTATAACAAATTACCATGAATTTAGTGGTTTAAAACAACATAAGTGTATTATCTTACAGTTCTGCATGTCAGAAATCCAAAACAGGTCTCACTGGGTTAAAATCAAGTCATCAGCAGGGAGGTATTCCATCTGAGTTCCTAGGGAAGAATCTGTTTCCTTGGCTCCTTCAGCGTCTAGATGGCCGCCTACATCCCTTGGCTAGTGGCCCCCTTATTCCATCTTCAAAGCTAGCAATGGTAGGTCAGTTTTCTTCACATGTGTCTTTCTGATCTTTGCACTACCAAACTCTTTCCATTGTCACCTCTCTCTCAGGCCACAGCTGGGAAGATTCTCTGATTCACAGATGCATGTGATTATCTTGAGCCCAGCTGGATAATCCAGGCAAAGTTCCCCATCTCAAGGTTCTTTATCACATTTGCAAAGCCTCTTTTGCCATGTAGGGTAATCTATTCACAGGTCCCAGGAATTAAGATGTGGCGATCTTTGGGGGCCATTCTTCTGCTTATCCCTAGAGATTTTTTTTTTTTAAAGATTTTATTTATTTATTTGAGAGAGAGAGCACATGAGAGGGGGGAGAGTCAGAGGGAGAAGCAGACTTCCTGCTGAGCAGGGAGCCCGATGCGGGACTCGATCCTGGGACTCGAGGATCATGACCTGAGCCGAAGGCAGTAGCTTAACCAACTGAGCCACCCAGGCGCCCCCCCTAGAGACTTTTAATTGTTGTTTTGTTGCTGATGGTTTTGTTTGTTTAATATGAGCTGGCAGGACACCTCTCACTTAAGACTGCTCTTTTGAGTCCTGTGCACGGGACCGGAATCTAACCCTGATATCTTTGGACAAGTCACATGTCCTTTTTTGAGCCAATGAGGAAGAGGCCAAATGCCTTCCAAGACTCTTTTCCTGCTCTAACTTT